GTCCTGTAGATGTAGATTGCACAGTAGTAAGTGTGGATGTACTGAACAGGGAGTAAGTTTAGATCTATGAAGAGTGGGGGGGGGGGGTGTTGCCAGGGATGGGATTTAGTGATTATTCTTACTGCGGCTTTTTGTTGGGCTATTGTTGGCTTTAGGTGTGTTGCTGCAGTTGAACCCCAAGCACAGATAGCATAGGTGAGGTATGGATATATAAATGAATGGTATAGTGTGAGAAGGGCAGTTTGCGGCATGTAGTATCGTATCTTGGAGAGGATCCCAACCGTTTTGGATACTTTTTTGGTTATGTGTTGAATATGGGTGCTGAAGTTCAGGCCCTCATTATGCCTGACAATTAGAGTGTTGTCAATCTTAATGTTAATTTGCACATCTCCTGCTCTGCTACCAAACATAATGTAGTAGGTTTTGTCAGCATTAAGCGTAAGTTTATTGGCTGTCATCCAAGTCAATATTTTGATCAGCTCCTCATTAACAATGGTGTTGAGAGTGACAAGATTAGGGTGAGAGATGACATAAGTCATGTTGTCAGCGAAGAGAATGGGGTTCAGGTGTTGAGATACGTCTGGAAGATCATTGATGTATATGAGGAAGAGCAGGGGACCAAGGACACTTCCCTGCGGAACTCCAGTATCAAGTGGCTGTGTTGTTGATGCTGTGTCTTTAATGGTGACATACTGATACCTATTAGTAAGGTAAGATTTGAAATATGCAAGCGCATGGCCTTTTATACCATAATGGTCAAGTTTGTGGAGTAGGATGCCATGGGCTACTGTGTCAAAAGCTTTTCTTAGGTCAATAAAAATTCCTAGTGGATATTCCTTATTTTCCAATGCTGTGTAAAGCAGATCTAGCATTTTTATGATTGCATCGTTAGTGCTTTTATTTTTCCTGAATCCAAACTGGCAAATTGCCAAAGACATGTAAATAGCCAGTAATTTAAGAGGACTGTTAAACTAACTCCTAGTGCACATTTAAGAAAAAAAGATACACCTGAACATAATTCTGTTTTTTTAATAACCAATTATTGGTTATTAAAAAAATTGGATACCTGAAATTATAAATGGCACTATATAACTCACATGGGCTAAGTGCCTTCATGTTAATACAGTATAATAATAATAATAATACAGTATAATAATAATAATAATAATGGTGGAGTATGTGCCTACATTAGAAATGACTTAGCTTACAACCCAAGACCTGATTTGAATAACAATAAACTGGAGATTCTATGGTTTGAAGTGCTGCTTCCTAAGACCAAACCCATCTTAGTAGGAACTAGTTACTGCCCTCCTACCCAGGACCAGTTCTTAGAAGACTTTTCCAGAGTCTTGTCCGGAGTTGAAAACAATTGCGAGACAATAATACTGGGCGACTTCAATATCTGTTTTCAGCAGCAAAATAACGGGCTATGCAAAAGGTTATAAGCAATTTAGGAATTACATAGTTAACATCAACTAATTATACTCCAACCGGATCACACAGTTCGCAGCCACCCTAATTGACCACATACTTGTACGCTCTGAGAACATTAGTCAGTCAGGTGTCCATTACACAGGTATAGTGATCATTCATCATTTACTGCACCAGGAAATCACTTGGGATAGGATGGCCTACACAGGACAATAAAATGAGGTCAATTAGAAAAACTACAGTAAGAAACACTGGTAATTAGGACACACAATGTGACGGACAGAGTTAAAAAGTTGCACGATAAACGAGGCCTGGAAAAAATTCAAAACAATGTTCACTACCATCCTTGATAATATTGGCACCAGTTTAGTAAAGAGGTTAGGATTAAACGAAGAAAGAACTGAACCTGGGATGAATAATGAGTTATTAAGATAATATGAAAATTCAGGAGCCAGCTAGCTAAAACGATTTAAAGCAAACAGACAGGATATTGCAGCAATAAATGAATTCCAAAGGGTGAGGAAACAGGTACAGAGATTATAAAAGGAGCAAAGGCAAAGCACTATGCTCAAAAAATTGAAGAGTTAAGCTAACACAGAAAGCTCTGGCAAAACTAAAAAACAGTTGGGGGTATAGCCATAAGCAGTAGATAGGTCTTAACATAGTACTCACTATCGATAATGAGGGTATGCCACGAAACATCTAAGGTGGCAAATTGCTTTAATTCATAATCACATCTGTTGCATCTACATAGTAAGTAATACCAGCTGCATAAATACTGTACCTTTAACACAGACTCTGATAAGTTTACAAGCATACTTATACCAATAAAGGGGTAACCCCAAACAGTTTTCAATAGTAAAGTGTATCTCATTGACTTTATTCAAAAAGAACTAAGGAGGTTAAACCAACTAAGAGGCACAGGCCCTGATAACATCCCATCTAAGTTCCTAAAAGATGGTGTTCTGAATGTCAATCCCTATTGCTCACATAATATAATCTGATCATCACACTAATACCGTACGGAGGGTGTTCAAGGAGGCAGAGTTACTCTATCTTCAAGAAGAATTAGTAGGTCTGATGGTAAGAACTATAGGCCTGTTAGTTATATCAGTATAAAATATCTAAAATTCTAGAGAGGGCGGTTGTAATTTCAGTAGTTAAGTACCTTAATGAAAAAACATTTCCATAGCTACATCGGGCTTTAGAAGTTTCTTACTCAACGAACCTCCTTATTAATCTGATGGATTGCCTGAGAATTGGAAATGTCAAAGGGGGGGAACCTCATAGGTATGTAACTTAGACCTGCAAAAGGCCTTCGATACTGACATAACAATTATATTATGTAATAAACTTCAAGCTATCGGTATAGGTTCTGTAGACTGGTTTAAGTCCTACCCTTATGCAACAGGAGGACAAATAGTCAAAATCAACAAAACGAAATCAGACCCCTGCCGGATAACATGTGGAGTTCCCCAAGGTAAGTATTCTGGGTCCTTATTCATGTTATGTCAATGGATATGCCTATCAGTGTCAAGTGCAAAAACTTTCCTCTTGTATGCAGTGCCAGTGCTCTGTTAGTGTCTAGAAAGACCACAAGATATAGCTAATGTTTTAACACGGAACTGGAGAGTCCTGCAGCAATGGTTAGTCGACAACAAAACATCATTACACCTCAGGAAAACTGAAGCCATTCTCTTTGGCACGAAACAAAACTGAGAAGGGTAAGTAATTTTAATGTTCAATGTAATGGAGCCCATCAATTTGGTTTCATCAGTAAAATTATTTTGGGAATCCCCCTATGACATGCATGTCAGGTGAGAATTGATAGGGAACAGTTGTAGTAAAGGAAAGAGAATGCCAGATCTGAAGTACTGTATAGACAAGCAACGTGTTCTACCTTCTGAGGCTCCAGAGGCCCTATGTCTAGCCTTATACAATGCCATATGGATTACGCTTGCTTTCTGGTACTCTGCCTTGACAAAAAAAAACTGAAAGATAGACTGCAAATCACCCAGAACAAAATCGTAAGATACATCTGGGGATGGGGACCAGAGAAAATGTAGGCCGGATGAATACAGCAGTTGGACTATGCTGAATGTTGAAGACAGAGTAAAACAACTGAAGCTAAATCATGTTTAGAAAATTGCTCACAAACAATGTCCAGATTATCTTGCTGTCAATTTTGTCAAGGTTGGGAACCAATGCAATCATAGTGATAGGGGGAGAGAAGCACAACTTTTGTAGTACCACAGTCAGTGGCCAGGCTTCAAACACCCTTTTATTGTACAGCAATATAGGAATGGATCAGACTGCCCGACATGTCTAAAGCCAGTAGTCATAGCATGTACCAGTTCAAGAAGAGTGCCAAAAGGTGTTGATGAATGTAGCTACAGAAAGTGAGGGGAATGATTTACAATTTTTTAGCTAACATACGTGTAAATTTTACCTTATTCCTAGTAATGACCCTTGTATTGTAGATAGTCTTAATGACCTTGGTGTAGTAGATAGTCTTTTTAGTATGATAATAAGATGTTATTTCATTGTTAGATAATAAGAAAATATTTATAAACCGTTATTTTATAATAATAAGGAAAAAGGACCCCAATGAAATAAGTCACTCTGTCTGACTTTTTTGGGTTATCCTAGGTTCTCTACACATATGCTGCTATGTATGATACTTCTATGTAACTGTATTTGTGTATACCTGAATAAACTTAATTACTTACTTACTTACACACTGGTTTATTTTCATTACAACAAAATAGAAAGCAATAAGGAATTTTTGCATTAATTCCATTATTATTATTATTATTATTATTATTATTATTATTATTATCAACTACATCACACTGAAAATAGTAATATGCTTATTATGATAGTGATTATTAATGAAGATAAGGTTCACAACTCTCTCTCAAAGCAAATCACTACAGTACTGTATATTCTTTTAATGATATACATGTTCACTTAAGAGTCACAGGTTCAATAAAAATATCAAATAACATGAAAATAGAAGACATTTAATTAAGTCAAAATAACAAGACTCAAATATGTAATGACTAACTAATAAATTACAAAAAGTCACCTTAATATGTTCTTTTTTTTTTGGTGGGGAGGGGGGGGGAGGGATAGTTTGGGATGATTAATATACACTATGATTTGGATAACATTGTCAATTATTTGCATGAACCATTTTTAATAAAATATAAAAATAATTCAGACATTTTGACTTGTCTTGGTTAATGGTCATGAACTGAAATCCATATATTTCATAATTCAAATTTGTGGGCAAGTTGTTAATGAAAACAAAGAGAAAGAAAAAGAGAAAGAGGAGTAGTAGTAGTAATTAATAGCTAGTAGTATTAGTTAATAGCTAGTAGTAGTAGTTAATAGTAGTAGTAGTAGTTAATAGTAGTAGTAGTAGTAGTAGTAGTTAATAGTTAACAGTAGTAGTTAGTAGTATAAGATATAACAGTAACATGAGTATATCCTCTCAGTTCTCATGTCTATTTAAGATAAAAAAGAATACTGTACTTGAATATGTACAAGAAAAATAATTCATTTACCTGAAGAGAGTTGGCCACACGGAGGATGCGGTGTATCTGGTCATGACTGACAGACACCTCTCCTCTGTACATATAGGTGAGCAAGGCTTCGCACTCATCCCCACTCACATCTTTCAGGAAGATGATTGGGTGCTGATGTGCTGGATGCCGGGAGAACAGACCCTGCAAAAAGATGACACTGCTAAATGATACATCCTAAAAGTATGGCACTGCTAAATGATAAATCCTGCAAGTATGGCACTGCTAAATGATAAATCCTGAGTGTGACACTGCTAAATGATATATCTTAAAAGTATGGCACTGCCAAATGATAAATCCTGCAAAATGGCACTACTAAATGATAAATCCTGAGAGTCTGGCACTGCTAAATGTTACATCTTAAAAGTATGACACTGCCAAATGATAAATCCTGCAAGTATGGCACTGATAAATGATAAATCCTGCAAGTATGGCACTGGTAAATGATACATCCTGCAAGTATGGCACTGCCAAATGATAAATCCTGCAAGTACATGTATGGCACTGCCAAATGTTAAATCCTGCAAGTATGGCACTGGTAAATGATACATCCTGCAAGTATGGCACTGCCAAATGATAAATCCTGCAAGTATGGCACTGCCAAATGATAAATCCTGCAAGTATGGCACTGACAAATGACATAAATACTGCAAGTATGGCACTGCCAAATGATAAATCCTGCAAGTATGGCACTGCCAAATGATAAATCCTGCAAGTATGGCACTGCTAAACAATTGTTTGCAAAATGGCACTGCTAAATGATTGTTCCTGCAAAATGGCACTGCTAAATAATAACTCTTGCAGAGATGACATGCTAAATGATAAATTTTGTACTTTTTTTTAACTTGACTTTCATGCCAGTAGATTCAAACACTTATCTTGTGGACACTGTAAATAACCTGTCTGTCAAAATTCATAAATAAATCAAAGTAAATTTTCCAAGATGACACCTTCGTCTACCTGGAGGGTATTCCAGGGATCAACACCCCCATGACCTGGTCCATGACCAGGCCTCCCGGTGGATCAGGGCCTTATCAACTAGGCTGTTACTGCTGGCCACGCATAGTCCAATGTATGAAGGATATTAATATACAGTGGAACCTCAAAAATCGAACTGCTCCCAACACGACCAATTATGTAAGTGTATTTTTGTAAGTGCTTTTATAAGTGTATTTTTGAGGGTCTGAAATGGACTAATCTAATTTACATTATTCCTGATGGGAATAAATTCATTCGGTAAAGGCACTCGAACAGCCTTCTGGACCGAAGAAAGTTCGATATTTGAGGTTCCACTGTACAGCAGCATTCCAGCCTAGAAAGAAAAAGCGATTTAAAAAATGTCATCACTGGCTTGGCATCTCGTTTTGAAAGTTCTCATTATCCATCCTGTCATTTTCCCCGCAGTTGTGATAGTGGCATTGTTGCGATCCTTGAAGGTAAGATTCACAGACATTACCATTCCCAGGTATACTCAGTATACTCAGTTCTATTATTTCCTTCAGTTTTCCATAACAGAGGAGTTGGAATTTGTCTTCACTGAACATCATATTGTTTTCCGTTGCCCACTGGAAAACTTGGTTTTTATCTTCTTGGAGATTTACCGTGTCCTCAATGGATGACACCCTCATCGGTGCTATGGTTTACATCTATGTGTAATATGAGGATTAGAAACAGGATTCAATTCAATTCAAGTTTATTCTCTATAATGGTTACAATGTGGGGTTTACAGGTTTTGGGTATTTTGTGGTTTACATGTTATAAAATACTAATTACAGAGGGGGTCACTAGGACACCTAGCATGGCTAGGCATTTCGAACAGACTTAGATTAATTCTTAACATTAAATCCTTACAGATTATGGTATTAAGGCTAAGTGACTACATCATAATTTGTGAGTTTAGCAATGTGAATGCTTTTGTTTTGGCACATTTATTATTATTATTATTAAAGATTAGCCGGTATTCTCCCAGCCCGGGCCTTTACCAAGTGGTGGCCTGGCCTTGGATCCCTCTTTAGGGAGTGTCTGAGACCTAAGTCTCCCATGGGAGGAGGCACAAGTACCTCCTCATCTTTGGGACCAACTGTCCCCAGGCCTAGCCACAAGCTAGGCCTCTCTGGTCTGCCATCCCAGCCCCAAGGGGGCTAATGGGAATGACAGTCTTATGAGCTAAAGGCTCGGGCTAAGGCACCTACCCTACCCTAGAAGGGTTAGGCATGGTGTCGATGTTTTGGCAATACAAGGTATCTATACAGTGGAACCTCAAAAATCGAACTGCTCCCAACACAACCAATTATGTAAGTGTATTTTTTTAAGTGCTTTTATAAGTGTATTTTTGAGGGTCTGAAATGGACTAATTTAATTTACATTATTCCTGATAGGAATAAATTAATTCGGTAAAGGCACTCGAACAGCCTTCTGGACTGAAGAAAGTTTGATATTTGAGGTTCCACTGTATTTGAGTAACATAGGCAAACTTATGACTAGTTAGGATTTATTATTTTAAGATTAAGATTAGTATTACTGGGTTTATAGTCAGTGGGTGAGTGAGTGTAATTTTGAACCACCAGGTGGTTATCATGTAGTTAGTTGTCGGGGTGGATCAGGGAGATAAGATGTTTTCTAACTGTAGTTTTGAAAGTGACGAATGTGTCTGCAGTTCTAGAGTTTTCAGGTAGGGTGTTCCAGATTTTAGGTCCTTTGAAATACATTGAATTTTTGTAAAGGTTTAGTCGAACACGGGGAATGTCAGAGATGTTTGTGTCTGGTGTTATGCCTATGGATCCTGTCACAAATATCAAGAAAGCATTTTAGGTCAAGGTTAATATTGGAATTTAAGGTCCTGTACATATAGACTGCATAGTAGTAAGTGTGGATGTTCTGAACAGGGAGTAAGTTTAGATCTATGAAGAGTGGGGGGTTGTGTTGCCAGGGATGGGATTTAGTGATTATTCTTACTGAGGCTTTTTGTTGGGTTATGATTGGCTTTAGGTGTGTTGCTGCAGTTGAACCCCAAGCACAGATAGCATAGGTGAGGTATGGATATATAAGTGAATGGTATAGTGTGAGAAGAGCAGTTTGCGGTACACAGTATCGTATCTTGGAGAGGATCCCACTGTTTTGGATACTTTTTTTGTTATGTGTTGGATATGGGTGCTGAAATTTAGGTTGTTGTCGAGTGTTGCGGCCCCCTACCAAACTAGCGGTTAAATAGTTAATCTGCTGGCCGGCAGTACCACTGGGTACGTCATCAAACCCATTGTGGGGACTGCTGAGCCGGCCTTAGAGCAGTATGTACCTGAACACCTCACGGTATGCATCTAAGCAGTAGGTACCTGAACACCTAATGGTACACATCTACTGGCTTTAGAAGCAGTAAGTACCTGAACACCTTAGGGTACGCATCGAAGCAGTAGTTACCAGAACACCTAATGGTACACATCTACTGGCAGTAGAGAGTATTCTACTGGCTTCTACTGATTTTAGAAGAACCGCTCACCGCAGCTCACTGAGTCTGTTGGCCTCAGTTACTTGATGGCCGCATTCAGTGAGCTTGCAGCATGGTGTTCGGCAAGTAGGATTAACCGAACCTACTTGCGGTGTGTCAGTTGGTCTTGAAGGCGGTAGATAGTACTCGCCAGACCATCTTACGGTGTACTTCTACTGGCCTTAGAGAGTATTTACAGGACTACCGGCGATGTCTGCGGACTCACCGCCTATGCTGGTCAACTGTGGGCCGGAGTCAACTGATGCTGTTTTAGTGGGACATTACATGAAGAAAAGGTTGGAGTGTTACACTGAACTGGGCTAGGACCGTAGTGTGACACTTAGGGAAGTATGGAGTGGAACACTGAGAAATGCTACAGGACCGTAGTGGAACACTGAGAAGAAAAGGGCGTCGTGTGATACTGAAGATGGTCAGGTTGTAGTTTACATTGAATAGTATCATGTGACTGGCCTCGAGAAAGACGCTGTGGGTGATAGTGTGCAACGCAGAGACAAGGGTGTCAAGAGTGACACAGTAGAGATATTGTGTATGATGCAGAGAAAAGGGTGTCGTGTGACACAGAGAAAAGGGTGTCTAGTGGACACGGTTGAGCAGGAGCGTCATTACACGGAAGAAAGGGTGTCAAGTGACACAGTTGAGAGGGAGCGTCGCAACACACCACGGATAAGTGTCGTGAGAGACACGGAGCATCATAAGGAGTTGATTGTAATTCATTATTGTAAATATGTTACGTATAATTTATTATTTTAGCATAGATATATATACAGTGGACCCCCGCTTAACGATCACCTCCAAATGCGACCAATTATGTAAGTGTATTTATGTAAGTGCGTTTGTACGTGTATGTTTGGGGGTCTGAAATGGACTAATCTACTTCACAATATTCCTTATGGGAAAAAATTCGGTCAGTACTGGCACCTGAACATACTACAGGAATGAAAAAAGTTCGTTAACCGGGGGTCCACTGTATAGTGACACAGTAGTGTCAAGAGTTGTACCCTGTGTAGGGTCACGAATTATTTATTTTAGTAAAATGCTAATTATAATTTATTATTGTAACATGTATATATATATATTTTAAATACTTCTAGACCAAAGATTGTGTGTTTTATATAATAAAGATTCATTTATTTTAACGTGTATTTATGTATCCCGAACTCTTTATTACAAAATGAGTAAACCTACCATCTTTAAAAATAACTTTTTTTGTAATATCGAGGTATAGGCCAAGGAATTTGCCCTCATTATGTCTGGCAATTAGTGTGTTGTCAATCTTAAAGTTAACTTGTGCAACACCTGCTCTGCTACCAAACATAATATAGTAGGTTTTGCCAGTGTTAAGTGTAAGTTTATTGGCTGTCATCCAAGTCGATATTTTGAGCAGCTCCTCGTTAACAATGGTGTTGAGGGTGGCAAGATTAGCGTGGGAGACGACATAAGTCGTGTCGTCAGCAAAGAGAATGGGTTTCAGGTGTTGGGATATGTTTGGAAGATCACTGATGTAAATGAGGACAAGCAGGGGTCCAAGGACACTTCCCTGCGGAACTCAAGTATCAAGTGGCCGTATTGATGAGGCTGTGTCTTTAATGGTGACATACTGATACCTATTAGAAGGGTAGGATTTAAAATATGCAAGGGC